AAATCCCCAGCCCCCTTTATTTTTTATTTTGAGACAGGGTCTTGCTAAGTTGCCCAGGCTAGGCTCAAACTCCAGTCCTCCTGCCTCAGCCTCCCAGAGTGCTGGGATTGCAGGCTTGTCCCACCATGCCTGGCTTAAAGTGGTTCATTTTATAGTATGTGAATTACATCTCCATTTTTAAAAAGACTAGTAGGAAGACCTACAAATGATATTTTGGTTTTGTCACTAAACAAGATCGCCCCGCCCCACCCCCGCCGAAGTCCTGTCTTTCAGTTTCTGCAGACTTCCTTCTTCCAGCCCTTACCCACCTGTCTTAGCCCCTTCTCTCGTTGCTGGGACAAAGCACCGGACACCCACAAGTTAAAGGAGGAGAGGCTCATTTCGGCTCAGTTTGTAGAGGTTTCAGTCCATAGTGGGCTGGTTCCAAGGCAGGAGGGCATGGCAGCGGGGCATCTCAGAGGAGAAACACTCCGCGGCTGTATAAGTAAAGTGCAACATGAAAGACAGATAAGAAGAAAAAAGAGAGAGAAAAAAGGTTACTGTATCCAGCACGGGCAACGATTCTAAAAGTGCACCTTGATTTACTATAACTGTGTTATGTTTTATATGTTTTCTAGTCTGTTAATCTGGTGGTTAATCTGTATATATAATTAACTTATAAGGGTGTATGAGATAAACAAATGAAGTCAATGCTGGCAAAAAGGGGGCTGCGGAGAGGAATGGGAAGAAACCGAGATGTGTTATGCGCATGCGCCAGCTCCGCACGATGAACATAATCATTACCTACAGCAAATGTGCACTAATAAACATTTTAAAACAGAAGAATAGTAAATGACAAATCAGGCAGGAAGCAGCAGCAATCAAGGGAGGAGGGATACACACACACTCCCTGCAGGCCCCACCCAGATACGACTGTCAGTGGACTAATCTAGCACCACATACCCGTGACCCAGCACCACACGCAAGTGACCCATCACCTCTCAAAAGCCCCAGCTGTGAGCGCATGAGGATTTAGGGGGATGCTTTAGACACAAGCCGAGATACCGCCCATCTAGAGAATCTGTATCCGCCCCACCCGATCAGATTAGAGCATCTCTCTGCCTTTCAGTTGGGCACCTGGCAGGTAAATTCGACAGGAGCCCCTGGTAAAGCGAGGAGGGAGCTCTGAGCCCTCTTCGCCCCGGCCGGCCACCCATGTCTCACTTTACGGGGGATAGGCGCCCTCCCGCTCACCATCTGGGAGAAAGAATAACAAGGCACTCGTATTTCTTTTTCACCAATAATTTGCATAAGCCAAACTTTACAAACAATGGTTTCCTTAGCAATCTCCAATCCACGCTCTTCAGTTGCAAATTGCTCTCCAGGATGGGAGCATCCTTCCCAGACAACACAAACTCATTTGAAAATCTCACAGAAAACCCAAGAGTTGGCCTCCCCACAAAGGTTTGCCATGGGCAGTTTGCAGGAATCCATGGGGCCAAAGGTAAAAGACAAGGAACACAAGAAGCACATCTGTAATCCTAGCACTCAGGAGGCTGAGGCAGGATCAGTATGAGTTCAAGGGCAGCCTGGGCTACATAGCGAGACCCTGACTCAAAAACAAAAGAGGAAACAGAAAAATTCTTTTACCTTGTTTATGCCCATGGTTAGCAAGCTCACCTAGCAGAGATAGATCTGCTTCAAAGTTCACCCATTTGGTCAGTTTTCTCTGACTGAAGTACAAAGGACACTTAATCCAAAGTCACAGATCTAACAAAAATTTTTAATGGTGCTAGAAAATATTGACTTGGGCGGGGACAATATCAGTGCATCAGCACTTGGTCTTCTGGGTTTTACCCTAAACCTACCACAGTGATCAAGTCAGGCGTCCAAGCTCAGGACTGCGGGTCCTAGAGAGATGTGGCTGCACAGCACCTCCTCCAAGCTGGTCATGTCGTGTCACCCGCAGCCCAATTCTCAGCTGAGCTAGACCCTCAGAGCCTTGCCCAGCCAAAGGGCAGGGACCAAACCCACTGTACCCGCAGGCCAGCTGCCCTCCCTGCATGCTCTCCCCAGACGGGGCCAGCCCCACGGCCGAAAACTGCATCAGCTCTGCCTGCATCGCTGTCCAGCTGTCGCCACCTTGAATCTTCATATCTGGACAGCATTTTTCTTGTGTGCTGGGCCCTGGAAAATGAAGCAGCCCTCCCTGCAAACAGTGAGGCTCACCACTAGCTCTACAACAACAGCCGGCCACCTGCCCCTCACCCATTTTAATGATTGGGGACGTCTCGTATGGGGTCGTCCCCCATGACTGTAGAGTTCACCGTGACAGAGGCCCGCACCAAAGGGCAGGAGCCATGTGACGCACACTCTTTGTAAAGAGCCTTGCTAAACCCGTCCTTGGATGTGACGATAGGCCAGTGATGGCGAACCTTTCAGAGCTTTCAATGACAAGAGCTGGCTGTGGCCCATGGTGTAGGTTCACCACCACTGGTATAGACCCCTAGAGAGCGGCCTGTACTGAGCAGGGCAAGACCCAACGAAGCTTTTTGCCAACACTGAAGCCTCCCAGGAACAAAGGTGGCCTTTGCAAGATGGCTGGCAGTATCCACTGGCAGGCCAGTTGTGCCTCAGTGGCCCCAGTGGTTCACACTCACAAACCAGGCAGTCACCCTGGGTGCCGCCTGGCCTGGCCAATAAGGGGCAGCCATTCCCAGCTCTGCTGAGGATCTGAAAGGCCCTTCCTTTCCTATAAAGCCTCTTCTGGGTTTCAGGAAGGAAGTGGAGAGACGAGAGGAAACCACAAACCAATAGAACTGTAATAGCAGGGTCACCCCTTGGTTCAAGTGGCGGGGGAAGGGGGGGCCTGCGCACTGCATTTCATCCCCAAATGGGGAGGAGAGATTGTTCTCCACATCTCCAGCACCCCAGAGAACTGAAGCCCAAGGACTGAGACCAGCCCCGCAAGGCTGGGAGGTGGGCTTAGATCATTCCATCCGCTTCTGCACAGCCTGGCCGGAGGCACCGGGGTGCCCTGGGGGGTCAGCCAGGGCTGAGTTGCCCTCTGCTGCCCGCAGGCTTTTAAAACACTGGTGGGCCAGGGCCCAGCCAGATCATGTGTTCCTGGAAACAGTCTCTTGCAGCGAACTCCAAGGAGGAAGAGAGAGCAGGACCATCCACTTCCCCACCTCTGAAAGTCACTGTAAAAGGGTGGAAGTTTCCTGGCACTGTGCTTACCACGGAACCAAAGGGATTGCTCAGCTCGGCGTTTCAGAGCGGGCTGCTTCCTTTTCCTGTCTGTGCCCTAAACTGTCTTTGGAAACTTTCATTTCAAAGCCTAAATTTCAAGCCAAGATGAGTCTCCACTCCCCGCTAACCCAGGACACCTTCCCGGGTGCCCTCGCCAGGAAGGCTGGTGACAGGGTCTCCTGGAAGCTGGCCACACCTGAAAGACCTTCAGGCCGCATGAACTCTTTGGCCCTTTTGTCCCTGTAGTGGCCACCCCCGGCGATGATTATGCCCTTCAGCCTTCTGGGAACACTTAAGGCCCCAGGCGCTGCAAAAAGGATTAAGTCAACTGAGCAGAGACATGTTTTTCCAATTAGTTAGAAACCACCCATGTTGGAACTTTTGCAAAAACTGGCTGGTTACTTTCCCATTCCCCAAGCTCCCTCATTCCTTCTTTCTTCGTAAATAATTTCATAAGGTTTTCAGATAAATTTGGTACAAAGACCCATAACCATGGAATAAACAGGACGCTCGTGGTGAAATGAAGGCTAAAGCCAAATGTCTCATCTCCCACGAGCTGCGCAGGGAGGGAGGAAAGGGAAACTAACTTCTGCCCGGCTCATTGAGGCTCACATCGACATGTGCAGTCACGTGTGTGTTTGACTTGGACATACATTTCACTACATGCGTGTTTTTGTACAAAGGCCTTTCCCACTGATATTTCTGTCCTGTGCCAGGTCTGAGCCAGCCTGCCAAAGTGGGGGAGGCCAAGATCCCGGGCCAGCAAGCTCACTCTCCTTAAAGGGCCATGCCACCAGTTGCACAAGCAGAGGATGGGGAAACACAGGGAAACAAGAAACAAGGCGGGTCTGGAAACGGCAGGGCAGCGCTGCGAGCCGGCGACCAGACACAGCAGGAATAAATGTCCCGGCCAGTGCACCGACAGATCTGACAAGCCTGTGTTCACGCCCGCTGTGTAGACGAGAAAACAGAGGCTCAGAGACATGTGCCCAGAGTCACATGCTGAGTGGCAGTGGAGCCTGCACGGTCCCCACATACGCGTACACCTTCTCCCAGGAATTCAATAAGACCAGGTGCTGACAGCCGGGCATGGCGACGCACACCTGTGATTCCAGCACTGGGAAGGCAGGAGGAGCATTGTGAGTTCAAGGCCAGCCTGAACTACTGGCCAGATTTTGTCTCAAAAACAAAACAAAACAAAACAAAACACAACACAACATAAAAAGGCACTCTGAATGGATTTTTGCAGATGTCATTTAAGTCTCAATTCACTTGATTTTGAGAGGAGGGTCTTGGTTTAATCACTTGAATGCTTTAAATTTTGGCCTAGAGGGTAGATAGGAAGGTTGAAAGCTTAGAAAACATTCAACTCCAATTCCTGGCAGGAAGATTGAGGGGGCTTTAGGAGGCAAGGGGAGCCCTCTGCTCACCACCGGCAGGAAATGAGACCTCAGATCTCCAATTGTGAGACTCTGAAGTTTGCTGATGAGCCCAACGGGCCAGAGCAGGAGCCTCCCGCAAGCTGGCCAGCGGACCCTGAGCTCAGCAGAGAGCCGGCCAGGCCATCAGGCCTCAACCCATGCAAGCCAAGAAAAGGAATCTGTACTGTTTTCATACTTTTGTGGTAATCTGTCACACACCATTCAAGCCTCTGACCATAGGTCAATCCCTGCTGTCACACACAGTGACAGCTTTCCAGGCCTCCAGGAGGCCTAACACAGCCACCTGAGCCTCCTGAGGGCCCCACAGGACACTGTTCCTGCTCTCTACAAGAGCTGTACAACCATACAAGGACTGGCTTTGGAAGTCCTTAAATGATTCTATATGCTTGGCCGTCCTGGGCCTCAGGCATCTTACCTGGGTTACATGCGGTTAACATGAATTAGCACAGGGCTGTTAACTGTGGTCACCTGGTACATACTAGCCATATGACTGACGTAGTGAGTTTTGGTTTTCTCTTTTTTTCCTTTTTTTGAGACAGAGTCTCACTATGTAATTCAGGCTGGCCTTGAACTCACTAGGTAGCCCAGCATGGCTTCAAACTCACAGCAATCCTCCTGCCTCAGCCTCCCAAGTGCTGGGATCAGAGGTGTATGCCACCACACCGACAGCTAATGTGATGGTGATGTTCACCTTGGTCACCTGGCTGAGGCAGTGTGTCAGGTTACCCTACGGTAAAGTTACTCTTTGTATCTTTCCTTTCCATTGTGGAAAGAAGCCACTCTGCATAGCCCACCCTGAAGGAGTGGAACGGATCGGCATTTCTACTACTAAATGAGGCCGTGTTACCAGACCTGCTACCCACGCTTCAAGTACTCAATTGTTCCATGAGGCCGGCAGCCACTGCGTTAGACACAGCAGCTCCATCCCATGTGGGGAGCAGCAAATGTTCTACTCATCCTCATGCCATGCTGCACACATTATTGCTTACTGAGTAGCTCCTTGAATGGACTCACTTTAAACAAGGGAACTTGCTCTCACCTCTCAACACCCTTGACAGCAGCCCAGCACAGAAGGTCCAGGATGCCCGGGACGTAGACGAGCCCGATTTCTCCACATCAGGTTCTTCACCCTCCGCTTTCCCCCCGCTCCGAAGGCCTTGGGGGTGGGGAGCCCCATACTCCTAGTCCTCAGGCCTCCAGGGTCCCCACATGGGAAGCCTCCACAAGTGCTGAGGGCAGCAGCTCTGAGCCCTCCTTCCAGGGGTCCAGCCCAGGGAGCTGCAGATCTCAGCTGCCAATCTGTTTGATTAGAAGAATCACCCAAGAGCTTCTTTAAACAAATTTTCTGAGACAGGGTCTCACTCTGTAATTCAGGCTGCCCTTGAACTCACTATGTAGCCAAGGCTAACCTGGAATTTGTGGCAGTCCTCCTGCCTCAGCCTCCCAAGTGCTGGGATTATAGGAGTGTACCCCTGGGCCTGGCTAAAAGCTTTCTAAATGCTTAGATCTTCCTGAACCCAGCCCTTATGGACTCTAACTAAAATGTGGCTTCGGGTGGGGCTGATAATCACCACGTCCAACAACAATCTTGAGTCCCACCTGCAGGCTTGGCCATAACTGGAGGACATCTGCCTGTGCAAAGGGAGACCCAGTGTGCACTGGGAAACCCAAGGGTAGGGCCTCATTCTGATACAGTTCCAGGGCAGGCACTAGAGACTGCTGGGTGGGAACTCTGGTTCTGCCTTTTCTTCATTTCATAGGATGGAGTTAGGAACAGACAGAACTTTCAAAGAAACTTTTTCTGTCCTCTTTGGCAAGCAGGGAGGGAAGCTTAGAAGTTTAGTATTTTCAAAAATACTTAACTGCTGCTGCTACTTTGATTTTTCTTTTCCATGCTGGGGATTAATCCCAGGGCCTTATGTATGCTAGGAGAGTGCTCTATTATTGAGGTCCGTCTCCTGACCTTTTAAAATTTTAAGGCCGAGTCTTGTGAAATTGCTCAGGCTGGCCTTGAGCTCGCTCTCCTCCTGCCTCAGCCTTGTGGGTAGCTGGGTGTAGGCCCACTCAGGGGGCCCAAGGAGATTTTCAAGGTGAGGTCCCAAGGTTAAATAACACACGTGTGCAAGACAATAGCAACAACAGCAGAAAGCACAGAGCAGAGAAGACAGCTACCTGCATCTTTATTGTATAATTCCTATACAGGTTGCTATCTCATATTTACATTCTTACAGAGTGCATAACCAGCACATGTATGTTTACCTGTACTAAGTCATGAGTACATAACTGCATCCCACTGTGCTCCTGTGCTAGACAGGCAGGGTCACATCCTCAAGTGTCGTTAGATTGCCCTGAGCTTTGAAGCAGTCCGAGTTCCCCATGCTGGGATTATAGGTACTTTTGCTTTTTCTCACCTTTCTTGCCCATGTCTTGCCCGGCTCCCTTGGATCAGAAGAGAACTAGACTGCACCCTCCAGGTTGCTGCCCATTGTTCTGGGAGGAGGTAACTTGCTTCATGAGTTCTCTAGGTCCACAGGTGAACAGGAGGAATGCACTCAGGATGGATGGTACCTGGAGCTCCCCCATGCCAGATGGAGGTGATGAGAGTTAGATGAGGTTTTTGGACTGAGTTGAAGCTGCGCTGCAATGCAGCGTGGGGGCCCTTGGGCGAGATGAACATTCTCTGCACAGATGCATAGCTTGGGGGTTGGAGGAATGACAGGGCGGGCGGAATCCCCTTTCTCCCAGAACGCTCACATTCCAGTCCTCTGAACCTGTGAATGTTATTTTGGTAGCAAAAGTGACTTTGCAGAAATGAATAAATAAAGGGCTTTGGGCTGGGGAAATTAGCCAGGGTGTAAACAGGGGAGATGAGGTCTAATGAGGGGTCAGAGGATATGGCACAGTGCAAGAAGCAGCCAAGCCGGGTGTGGTGGCTCACACCTGTAATCCTAGCACTTGGGAGGCTGAGGCAGGAGGATTGCTGTGAGTTCAAGGCCAGCCTGAGTTACAAAGTTAGTTTGAGGCCAGCCTGAACTGCATAGTGAAACCCTGTCTCAAAAAGACAAAAAAAAAAAAAAGAAGCAAGCACACCTCTTGTTCACTGTGGCTCCCTGGAGCCTACAGTGCACAGGTACTCAGTACATGCTTGGTGACAAAAAGGCCCACGAAACAAACATTTTTAAACACGCGCCCAGACTGCCTGGATTCCAGTTATCAGCCTTGTGCACAAGTTATTTAACCTCTCTGACCACAGTCATCCTTCTCTCCAGATTAAGAAAGAAGACTCTGAACTCACCCAAGATGGTCCAGTTAGTAAGTAGGGCTGGGATTCAAAATCAGGCCCCAGAGAACTCATCCGGCTGCCAAACCCATCACCCTCCCCACCCCCTACCCTAGTCTGGCCACAGCTGGCAAATCTCCCAGGGTGGATAGCTGTAAAACTTCCCATGGCCTCATTTAGTTTCTTTACTTCATTCTGTGGCTTTTCATTCTGGTCACTGGCTGTCATCCCATTTCCGAGGGTTCAGGCCAGCCAAGCAGCCCGGGGACAGACCAGCAGGGGGTGCCAGCGCCCGTGTGTAGACATCTGTCCCCAGAATGGCCTTGAGGAAATGCTGCTCAGTGAAGAAGGAAGGTTCTGCCACCAGCGGAGCCTCCCCAACAACAGGGAGGGGGAAGACACAACCTACTGCTTCTCGGTCTGTCCCTGTGGCCTGCTGGCTAGATCCCCCAGGACAAAGGACTTCATCTCCTTGGCTGAGGTTTTCATGGCTACAAGAGAGGAAAACACATCTCCCCGATAAAGGCAATCAAACACAGTAATGTGGTGGAAGTTCCCAGCAGGGCCCCTGGCACAAAACTCTCAGCCGCATTTGCATCCTTTATCAGCAAGACATTCAGGGATTCTCATGGGGCTGTCATTTCAGATTTTCCCAAACAACCTAAGTCCGCTTTTGGACTTGTCTCACTCCTCTTCCTCCATCCTTTTAGGTCTTTCCAAGTGTTCTTTCGGTACCTCAGGGCACTCACAGGCCCCATATAAACTACACAGGGGGCTTGATTTCAAAGGCCTATAAGGGGCTCCTTTCTTTTTTTTCTTTCTTTTTGAGGGGCTCCTTTCATTTAAAAATTGCTGTGAGCGAAGTGTAAATCCAAGTGCAGCGTGCTTTCCTATTTCCTCTGCCTCCCAGCTGAAGAGCCCATCCCACCACATGCCAGGCAAAGCCCCCTACTGGACAGAGGTACAGAGAGAAGACACAGTCATGCAACAGGGAGAGATGGCAATTTCAGAACTTGTGTGCCAGTTTACAGAGATCCCCCTCCAGAAAGGGCAACTAATCCGGGTCCCAAGAACCTAGGGGTGACCATCCCATGAAGGAGGAATTCTTTCCGCTTCACAGACTGACCTCCAAACCCAAGGTCCGACAGGAAACGGTGGATCAGGACTGGACTGCAGGCGTGACACTACTGGTGGCCCCCTTACCTTCAGCAAGCTGGGGCCCCTTGATGATGTTCTTCTGCACAGGCTCCAACATATCTGCTAAATATAGGTCACCACAGTTGAAGGTGCATCTCCTGCCTAGTCCTTATACCAGGCTGCTTCTCAAGGTTTCTACATGTTTTCGATTAGTACGTTTGCTGTGTAATGACTGTGTTCATCATGGGGAGCTGGGACACGTACATAACATATCTTCATTCTTTTTTCATCCCTTTTCCCTCCCGCCCTTCCCCGGCCCCCATCTCTTGGCCCCTTCCATTTGCAGAATCCTTCTCAGTAACTTTGGACCGTAACAATGGCAACCACGGCTGAGGTACAGCGGTACGAGCCCTAATCCATTTGGTGGCCTGACAGCTCAGGGCTGTGGGCCCTTGAAATCTGAAGATAATTCTACAACAGGGTGCCTCTTCCATGTTTTTTGTCCTTACTCATGAAATCATACACAAACAAGCCAGGAGACAAAACAATTATTTCACGTGCTCATTGCCTCTGCTTCGTCTGGGGCTGAAGAATTTTGCAGTAAATCTTCAGCTTTACAAGAACATGCAACAGGAAGAATTAGGGAACTCAGGCAATCAAAACCAGCTAAATGAGGGTTTCGGGTTTTTTTTTTTTTTTGTAATGTAAAGCAGTTCCAAGAAAAGTGAAGTCACGGCCTGGGTTGCTTGTTTTCAGTTCTTAGAAAAGAGCTAATTTCAAAAGGGAAGCTGTGCTGCCCCAGCCCCTGGGCTGGTCACTCAGTCATTCGCTGTCTGGGAGCAGCTTGATGACTGTGATTTGGCAAAAGCAACATAGCGCCTTCGGATGCATTTTCAATTGGTGATGTCAGCGAGGAAACATGAGAAGAAAGAGTGAGAGTTCTTAACGCTCAGAGAAACAAACCACAAGCCTAGGTGGTGTACTTGCAGCGCAAGGGCAGGAGCCGTTTTGGGGGCTCTCGGATAAGACACACAGCACCCTCTTTTGCTCACCTTGCATACTTCTGATGCACTTACCGCCTGGCAACAACGGGGACCCAGCCAGCATGTTTCGATTAGGTGCTGTTTTCCAGATACCAGCGGAGGACATGTTAGGCAGGATACGCTCAGCATGTTCTTGGCAGCTGGGGTCAGCTTTCCAGCACAAAGAAAAGTGAGTTTCAGATGAGTGGGGACTCCAGCAGGGGTAAGGTCCTTGGGAGTATGCCACACCCAGCTACAGCGCTGGGTAAATAAAAAGTTTCATGACCAAATTTTGTCCTAAGAACCCTTTAACAGAGATCCACTGACCTGTATCAAACTTCATTTGGGGGCTTTAGGTGCAGCTGTGTCAGGGCACTTATCTAGTTTGTGTGAGGCCCCGATGTCCATCCCCAATACCACAAAAACAATACATTTCAGTGCGATCGAAAGCAACTCATCGACTGTCCCCATCAGGGACAGTGTAAGGAGACATGACAACTGAATAGAGCATGGTGTCCTGCATGGGACCCTGGAACAGAAAAGGACGTTAGAAAAAAATTAAACAAACCTGAATAAACTATCGATTTGAGTTAATAAGGTCTCTATATTAACTCATGAATTGTAACAAATGCTCCATACTAATGTAAGATTAATGGCCGGGGAAGGGAGATGCAAGGGTATGGGAACTCTGCACTATCTCTGCAACTTTTCTGTGAATCTAAATATCACACACACACACACACACACACACACACACACACACACACTTAAAGGCAGTGATAGATATAAGCAAGAACTTACTGCTTTTAGCAACAATTTTGTGCCTACCATAAACCAACCACTATGTAAAACTGTATAAAACACATCCTTATTCCTTACACCGGTGCTGAGCTGGATATGACATATTTTATAGATAAGGGAGTGAAGAACAGAGAGGATAGATAACATGCCCATGGTTACACAGCAAATTTAGCAACAGATGAAAGGCTCAGATTCAGATCTACTGGGCTCCAAAGCTTGCATTAAAGTACAGCAATAGTGCTTGAAAAACCCATTGTGCCATAAACCAGCTCAAAATAAGCTTCCAGCAGTCTACAAGCTCAGGTCAGTAATAAAAATAATGCACTAATTTGCCCTGCCTTTAGAAGAAAACATTGATAGTGTTAAAAACATAGAAAATCTAAAACATTAACACTAACAAATGCAGGTGAGGACAACTCCTGTGCTGCTGGTGGCAATGCGCAATACACTCACTTTGGAAGACTGGTACTTTCTTAGAACACTAAGCACAGACTCGCCCCACGAACCAGCAGTGACGCTCCTAGGCACTCGTTTGAATATAAAGACTAGGAGCAATCAAGATGTCCTTCAATAGGTGGACTGGAGGAGCAAACTGTGTACATGCATATCACCTTTGGTGACAAAGGAAATGAGCTCCCGGGCTGCAAAGATATATGGAGGAACTTTAAATGCATATTAAGTGAAAACAACCATGCTGTAAAAATTATACCCTATATGAATGTCTGCAAAAGGCAAAACAGGAAATAGATCAGCGGCTGAGGGGGGTGATGAACGGAGGGAACACAGAGGATTTTTATGAGACTGATCCACGTCATTATGCATTTGTAAAACCCACAGAATGTAGCACACAGCAAGAACCCTGGTGTGAACTCTGGCTGATAAGAACGTATCCATGTAACAATGTAATCAAATGGCCATCAGTGGTCACAGATGTATCACACACTAATCACAGATGTTAGTAACAGAAGCTGGGAAGGAAGATGAGAATATGGGGCACATGGAAATGACTTTCTGCTCATCTTTTCCACAAACTCCAAACTACTTTTAAAAGTAAAGTTTATTTTTAGAAAAAGCATATAAAATTTATTAGTGATAAAAAAGTTTATTAGTGGTACAATATCAATCATTCAGGCAAAACTCTACTGTCATATTGGACTATGACTTCCTTGGCATTTATAATCTAAAGACAAATCCAGCACGTGTGATAAGCAGGGAGCAGAAATGCAACAGTCAATAAATAACACAATTCATTCCATACAAAGAGCTGTAAGAACTCTAAACCAGGAGACTGCTCCCTTGCTATGTTTTGACAGAGTTATGAAACAGAAATTTGGGTAAAATAATGAAAGTTGTTCTCAATCTGGGTTTTTCAACTTCAAAGAGAAATTCTGAAAACCTCTCAAACTACCTCTCCCCTCCCGTGCACGATGATATTTAAACGAAAGGCACCCTAAATATTCGTGTGGTATCTGAAGCAGAAAGAAGCTAAATGTGCCAGGCATGGTGGTGTACACTTCAATCCCAGCACTCTGGGAGGCTGATGCGGGAGGATGACAAGTTCAAGCCCAGCTTGGGCAACCTAGTGACTTAAAGAGACCCTGTCTCAAAGTAAAATATAAAAAAAAGGCTGGGAACATAGCTCAGTGCAAAGGCCCTGGGATCAGTCACTCCAGAGAAAACACACACACACACACACACACACACACACACACACACACACAGAGGTATGCAGCCACTTGTGTCTGCCCTGAGCTACTTAACTTGCAAACTGGATATGGAAGTTGTCAATGGAGGGACAGGAGCCATGACATCATTCCTTTTTCACCCAGCCTGTTTTCCTGCCCATAACTACACTTTAATCACTATGGACAATGACTGAGGTTCAAGTTTTGAATCGTAAGACAGCGATGAAGCCATAATGGAAAAAGAATCATCATTCGTAAAATTTGGAAAATGCAACATGAGACCTCTGTGTGTTTTACAGACAGAAATTAACATACATAAATGGAAAGAAAAGGCCACACAGCATCTGCTTTTCATCAGCAAACACAGTATAGGCAAGGGGCAGTGCAGGCTGAGTTAACTGAAGCCTCCTAACACTTAAAAATCCCTGCATCCAGAAGCCTGGGTCAACCAAAGTAGTTCTCTCTGAGAAGCTTTTGAGAAATATACAATGCCAATAAAATATACAAGAGTGATGTCCATGAAATCCACACAGTCAGAACTGAGATCATTTCAGAGTGAAGGTTGTTTTTAATGACGGTTCCAATGTCATCTAAGGAATGTTCTTGTGTAAATCTTCCACTTCCAGTTCCCACATGCTTTCGTGGATGGGATTATCGGAAAGATCAGTCATCTTCACAGCCTGAAGGCATGGCTCCGGGTTACAAGACTGCACCACTCCCATCACCATCACATACTTTCCTAGGAAAAGGAGAAAAGCCGGTGGTAATGTTCACAGGAATAAGGGGGCCCAGCGACAGCTCTCAGTGAGCCTGTTCATCAGAGCTGAACTTGATCAGAGAGGGAAATCACAGACAGAAAAAAATTCCAGAGCTGGAGGTGTAGCTCAGTGGTAGAACACTTGTATGACACAGGAGAAGCCCTGGGTTCTATTCTCAATGCCACAAAAAACAAACTAATTAAATTAAAATTTGGATAGTAGACATTAAAACAAAAGCAGACAGTGATAGAATACTATTTAACCTGGAAAATGACATCCGTATCTTCTTTGATTTCAGGTTTTAACGTGTTAAACAGCACTGTCACACCCAATGGTATCAAGCCCAAGGAATAGAGACAGTTGTCCACATCAGAGTGAGTTCTAATTAGACAGATTGCCCCAGGCAGGGGCAGAAACTCCAAGTGTTTCTCTAGTTCCTTTCTTTGCTCAATGCTACAGAGTGTCTGACTGGTTGCTGTGCGCAGGACGGGTTTTTTTCTGCCAAGCCACTCCTAGCCAGCTGAAGAGCAAACCCAACTTTCCCTCAATGTTGCCAAAAAAAGTTGGGCAGGCATCAACACACACGGCCACACAGTGCTACACTGTTCCAGTCGGCCAGCAACAATCCCTGCCACCTCCCTCTCCATCCTACCACCACTGAGCACACACAAGCAAACCGACAAAAGATCAGGCTTCCACAAGGGTGATCCAATGACACATTAGCCACGATCCTCTTCCCACTCCATTGGGGAAGTGACTCTCCTTGAAAGCAAAACTTGGCCAGTCTCAAACCACACAAAATGCAATTGTGTAAAAAAAATTCCCCAAACACAGCAAGAGGGACAGGCAGCCTGCCAGCCTCTGCATGCCCCGCTTCCAACGTCAGGGCTGAGTGAGCCCGGGTTTTGGCTGAGGGAAGCCAGGCAAGCTGCCCCTGACCCTCTGGTGTTCCACTCCAGGCAGGGGGCACTTTGGGCTTTCTGAGCCCATCTCCAGATTTCACTCCAGTTCCTCAGTGACAGAGGATACAGTAGTTCTACAAACACACTTGCCATACCCTGTTGATGGCCCTAAAGTGCTAACAGAGATGGAACCCTCAGGAACTGAAGGACTGGGAGGCTGAGGCAGGAGGACTGCAGGTTGGAGCCCAGCCTGACCAAGTTAGTGATTTAGCAAGGCCCTGTTTCAAAGTAAAAAATAAAAAAGGGCTGAGGATGCAGCTCAAGTGTAAAGGCCTGGGGTTCAATCCCCAGTACCACACACATACACACGAAGACCCAGGAGAGGTGAACAGGAGACCTGCTGGAAGTCACACAGCTAGGCAGAGGCAAGAGACTCCTAAACTGTGACTAGTCCATTCATTCCACCCATACCCTCTCCTGTCCCAAAGCAGCTCCCCTCCCAGAGCTGCCTCCTGTCCCAAAGCCTCCTTCCTCTCTTGCCTTGGCCACGCCAGTGGCACCAGTAGTCTCCCTTCTAGCTTCTTCCCCTCCCCGCTGTCTCCACCTGGCCACTGCAGCCCTTGTTCTTGGGCAGCTCCTGCCTCAGAACCTCGTGAGCTAGTGCAGTCTAAGTGGGCACTGTTCCGCGGCTCAGTCTATGGACCAGGGTAGCTGGAGGGTAGGGCAACTTCTGACCAGACCGCATCTGCAGCACTCAGTCTCTCTAAAGAGGAACTGCTAGGTGCTCCAGAGAGAGAACAGCACTAACAGTGTGAGCACCAAGGCCAACCTGCAGCAGGCAGGGCCTCCCACGAACAGCCACAGGGCTCACCAGGGTGGGACCTCCCACTTGTCTTTCCCTGCAGCCCCACCATGGCGCACCGCCATCCCCTACCTCCAGGATTCCATGCAACCTTGCTGTGGAAAGGAACATGAAACTGGTTCAGTCCCCTGTCACTGCACACAGACAAAGGGTGACCGACTGTCCCAGTTCTAACAGTGGAAGTTCTGCATCCCAGGGCGCTCTCAGTCCCATGCAATCCAGGAGAGGCCGTCGCTGTAGATAACATGACCTGCCCCTCAGGGCTGCCTTCCCCAGGAAGACATCCCTGAACTGCTGAGCCTAGACCAGTTGCCCCTCCTCTGTGCCACTTTCTGCCCCCAAGTAAACACCAGACAGCCCAGAAGAGGCAGACAAGAACAAAAGCAACCCTCCCATGCTCTGCAGCTGGGGGCCTTCTGAGAAGCCTGAGAGGGGAGCAGTAGCTAAGCCACCGTGCACTTTGTGGTGTGGGACTTTCCTAAGCACTTCACATACATTGAAACTGCCACTCTTCTAACTCTATGAGGCGACAACACGCTCACCCCTGAAAAAGAAAAGAGCTGCCCTTCCACAGTGCCCTGGGCTTATGCCTACAACAGTCTTTGCGTCACAGTGACCTGTTTACTTCCCTGGCTCCATGCCTGAAGAAATGACTTAGGTTTATAAAACCAGACTTGGCATTAATTAGGAAGAGATATGACATGGCCCCGACCTGTGGGCATGTGGGCCCATTTGCCCAAACACTAAGGTATCTACTGGGCACCAGGCTTACCCCAGAGCTGGGAGACGACTTGGGGAACTGCCCAAACTCATTTAAGGGATTCTGCCTGGGTGCTGAGACATCAAGCAGTACGCATTATGTCTGAGGGTAAAGCCAAGGCCAACTTTTTCTATAAAGTAAGTATTCTAAGCTTTGTGTGGCACAGGGACTCTGCTGAACTACTCAACTCTGTAGTTATAATGGGGCAGCAACGCTGTATATTATGAATGTTTCAATAAAACTTCACTTATGGGCACTAACATTTTAATTTTATAGAGTTTGCACAAGTCATGATTCTTTTCAGCCATTTAAAGATATGAAAACTATTTTTAGTTTGCAGCCCTGCAAAAAGACGCATCGGCCAGTCCTTTGCCAGTCCCGTGCTGGAATGAGGCTGGAGCCCAAGGCAAGGGAACTTCTGGTGGTGGGGAGGGAGTTGCAAAGACAGCCACACCTGTCTGAACCCTGGTGATGAGCCAGGTCAAGGCCATTGTTTACCCCTGGAATCCACAAGACAAATTACTGCTCCTTCCTACAGAGGGAGAACACACCCACAAAGGTTAAAAGTGTACCAGACAGCAGCAGCAGGGAAGATGTGGAGCCAGGAATTTAACCTGTCTGTCTGAGTCCAAAGCCATCGGGCCAGGCGGCTGACCTATCTATCCTGCCTCTAGTTAGAAGACTGAATAAAAGGGCCCTTGGGGATAAAGTGACCTTGGCCCGAGTTCACAGGGAAGGGAATCGTAAGGAAGAAAGACCCAGGGATTCTTCAGACTTCCTAAGCTTGGGCCTCCTGTCCTTCGCAGCCTCCCCTGACCGCGCTGCACCTCCACAGGGGTCCGCCGTCCTCCCGCGGTGTCGTCCTAGCAGGCCTCGGCTCTCTGGGTGCTGGCTGCAGCGGGGTCACGGAGCGAGGGCGAGGAGATCCTGCTGCCCAGTGCCCGGTTCCTGGAGACCTAGGAGTCAGGCTGAGCCGGCGCTGTCAGAGCCACAGCCAAGAGCCCCGCAGCGCAAAGGTGAGCCCAGGCCAGCGCCGCACTCCGGGAGCCGGCTGGAAACGCTCTCAGCCTCCCCCAGACCCCGGCACAGAAACCCCGAGCGGCCCGCAGCCTGGGCTCCTCCGTGCCCCCAGTGGGCCGGATGTGCTCAGGTCTCAGCACCACCTGCTCAGCAGGAGCGGCCCGAGTGAGCCCGGGCTGCGGGGCGCCCGCGCCCGTCATGGATCGCGTGGGGTCACCTGTCGCGGAGAGGCCAAAGGTGAGAGGTTGGCCCCGCCCCCGGGCGTGACAGCTCCTGGCGGGGTCCGCGGCGCCTCCGCGCGCGGGAAGAGGCCCGGAGTTACCTGGGACCAGGCAGGGCCGCCCGCGCGGCACCCGCTCCAGGCCGCACACCGAGAAGGCCCCGCTCGGGTCCCGCAGCCGTGCCTCGCCGCCGTCCGCCGCCACCATGGTGCCCTGCATCCATACGGCCGCCAGCTCCAGAGGCCTGCGGCCCGCCGCCGCCCGCGACAGCCGCCACGCGCCTGGGGAGCCCTCCACGTCGCGTCGCAGCTGCTCCGCCAGCACCTTGAGTGGCGGCGACCGCGGTAGCCGCACAGCACCCGAGCAGCTGCCGGTGGAGGAATCAGTAGCCGCAGCCATTCCAAGATACGGCCGTTTTCCCGCCATCTTTGATAGGCAGCGGGGCTCGGCGTCCAGCTACCAATCAAAAACGCGCTGACCGATCTGACCAATGGTCTGAGTCGGAAGGCGGGACTGTTAAGCCGCCATGTTTTCGTCTCTGGAAATGCGCATGCGTACATAAAAGTAAATAAACGCCCCAGACCTAGGCGCGACTGGAAGGAAGGAATTAAAGTAAGTGAAAGCGGACAGGTAAAGAGTATCCTCTTTCAACGTGTGTCATAATTTGCCATGCACGCAAGTCACCTGGAGGATGTGATTATCTTAGTCTTGCAGCTCAGTACTCTGAAGTTTTATTTAGCTTTCACAGTACACTTGTTTGGGAGATTGTGGAAGTGATCATTCTGCAATAACTAAGGGATATTATTATTATTTTTTAAGGGATATTATTAACTAGATAGATATTAAAGCTATTTCCAATTTTCATTTTATAAATAATGACTACAGCTAAATGTTTATGCACATCTTTAAATGAAATTCCTGGGAATTTCTTCCCCAAAATTGGATGTCTCTAATCAGCCAAACCCATAAATCCTAACCCAGGCCAGTCCTAAAGTCAAGAACAGTTTCTAAGCGAGACTGTGCTCACAGGGCCGCTGTAGTACCAGGAAGCCACAGGATATTCAGCAAGAACCTGGCTTTCATAAATCAGCTAAGACCTAGGGAACAAGGTCTCATCTAAGAACTTGAGGACTGGGGATATAGCTCAGTGGCACAGACCCTGCCTGGCAAGCACGAGGTCCTGAGTTCGATTCCCGGTTCAAGAAAAAAGAACTTGGTAAGGAGTATCCTATATACCACAGATCCTATAAGAGCTGTTCTACCAAGCTGGGTGTGGTGGTACATACCTGTAATCCTAGCACTTAGGAGGCTGAGGCAGGAGGATAGCCATGAGTTTGAGGCCAGCCTAGACTAGGAATTCAAAGCCAGTCTGAACTACTTAAGAGACCTTGTCTCAAAAAAACAAAAAACTAACTAAATAAATAAACTGTTCCACACAGGTGAGAAAACTTAGGCTCACAGCCTGTGGCCTCTCTGGCAGTAGCTTCTACGGGTCTTGGCCCTTACACTTGGACCCTGTGCTGTACAGTAACCAGTCTTCTGGGCTGAGAAGGGAGCAGGACATTACCAAGAAGAAACCGCCCCATCATGCTCGGGGGTCACCATCAGCACCTGAAAGCCAGCAGAGTGAAGGGAAAGGGAGCTGGGATGCAGCAGAGGCTCCCAGGGAGGGCCCCCTCTTCTCTTGCCCTCCAAACGTGCTTCTCATGCACCGCTCCACACCATGTGGCAGAGTGCTCTCAAAATCTCAAGTCAGAGCCTACAGCACTGGGTTTATAACCTCTTGTTGTGTCCACACACCAGAGTGAGCATTCCAGGCAGAAGGAATTTTATGCAAAGGGCTCCCACAGAGAGCTGGCAGCACTTAGTAAACTGCCCTTATTTCAGAATGGCTACGACACAAAATAGAATGGAGGGGTGGGGATAGATCAGGCTGTGCCTACATCATCTCATTTTTATCCCCATTTTACAGACAGTGAAACTGAGGGTTAGGCCCATGGGCAGTCTGATACCACATGGCTAGTAAGTAGTAGATCCAGAACTCAAACCTAATTCCACCTGGCCCCAAACTTCACATTTCTAGAACCACAGGCTCCATCTCCGTGCCCACCCTAACGCCCCCGCCATCAGGTGCCTCTGGATCTTTGCTCATGCTCTCTCCTGCCTGGCACACCTTCTGCAGATCTCTCCATTGAAAGCTGGCTCAGCCATCAAGTGTCTCTCCGCCAAGATGACCTCTTCTCTCCAGGGAGCTGGTCTTGAGCTCCACAGCTGGAATTGATTTCCTGCCTTCCAGAACAGTTGGGTGATGACCTAACCCAGTGTTTCTTACCCTTAGCTCCATTCATTTGGGCCCAGATACTCTGTTAGAGGGGAATGTCCTGTGTGCACTGTAGGATGTTGAGCAGTACCCCTGACCTCCACCCACTAGAGGCCCGCAGTACCCTCCTCAAGTTATGACAGCTAAAAAGTGTCATCCAACACAGCCAGTGTCCCCTGGAGTGATCAAACTCCCAGCTGAGAAGCACTGTCCTAAGCTATTCACTGCACTGCACCAGGTACTGGAGTCTGTGTCCATGTTACTAACCAGGCCAGGGGGGTCAGGTTCAGATGCCAGCAGTGGCCAGGCAGGTCACCCTGGAACAGCACTGACAAACTGGCCTTCGGATGGCTGCCTGGCCCAAGCAGTCTCAGCCAGTGCTTGTCACGTGGGAGGTGGGTTCAGTGTTGTCAGATCCGATTTTTCGAGTTATTTTAAAGTACATTCTCTACGTTTTAAACAATGTTGGCATCGAATTCAATTCTAAAACAAGTACATAAAGAGACCCTGTGTCCCCTGAAAGTCCTCTGGCTGTGCTGCAGTCTGCATTTCAGCTCTAGCATGTGAGCTCCCTGTGGCCCCAGGGCCACTTGTGTGCTGACCTGCAAAGCACCCAGGGTCCATGGTGGTTCACCAGCTCCAGGAGTTGCAAATGTGGCGTTTTAAGTCACTGTCCCCAGTGGACAGCCAGGGTCATGGTGGGCAAGCTCTTCTCCTGGAGGGTCACCCCCTCCCATAGTGCATGGTGCTCACTCACAGCCAGGCTGGAGCGAACCCTCATTTAGGCTTTGGGACCCAGCTTCTTTTTTTTTTTTTTTTTTTGAGACAGGGTCTCGCCATGCAGTTCAGGCTGGCCTTAAGCTCACTTTGTTACCTAGGCCTGTCTTGGACTCACAGCAATCCTCCTGCGTCAGCTTCCTGAGTGCTGGGATTACAGGTGTGCACCACCACGCGCAGCAAAGACCCAGCTTCTGAGCAGGGTCACAGCCACTGGAGGGGGCTTTCTTGCCATCTGCTTCAAAGATGACAAAGATGAGCGAAGAGGAGTTAGATACAGGTGTGCCTGGCTTCCACCTGTTCCCCTGCCCTAGGCAGAACAGAGCAGGCAGAAGTATGCTCCTGGTTGCCAGAAAAGAGCCCTGCCACCCAAAGAAAAGGGGTTCTTCCAGACAGAAAATGCTACCCAGTGCCACATTCGTAACAGCACAGCTGTCACTTCTGAGCCCTTACTGTGCACCAGGCTGTTCCCACCACAATACTAAGGAGTTCGTGCTTTTCTTTTCTTTTTTTTTCTTTTTGTCTTTTTGAGACAGGGTCTCACCATGCAGTTCTGGCTGGCCTTGAGCTCACTTTGTAGCCCAGGCTGGTCTCAAACTCACAACGATCCTCCTGCCTCAGCCTCCCAAGTGTTGGGATTACGGGTATGCACCACCATGCCCAGCCTGAGTCCACTCTTTTCTTAAGCCCATTTTAGAGATGAAGAAATTGAGGCTTGGACAGGTGATATGACAACCCAACACCACCCAACTACCAACCTACCCTCATCTGGAATGAAAGAATCCTCTCAGGGGTCTTTCAACCATCAGGTATCCCTGTGAGGGTTGGGGGTCTTAACCTAAAGTTATCGACAGATTCTGGCTCTTACCTACTATCCTGGATTGTTATCAGCAAGGAATCCCCTTTGTTTTGTTTTTTTGAGATAGGGTTTTGCTATAGAGCCCAGGTTGGCCTCAAACTCTCAGTCCTCCTGCCTCAGCCTCCTGAGTGCTGCCCTTGGCAGAATTTTATTTTATTTTGCTTTACCATTTTATTTTATGAGTATTGGGGATTGAACCCATGGTCTTCACATTGAGCTACATCCTTAGCCCATTTTTAATTTCTTTTTATTTTGAGACAGGGTCTCACTAAGTTGCAAAATTGCCTGGGTTGAGTTTGAACTTTTGATCCTCCTGCCTCAGCCTTCCAAAGTGCTGGGATTATAGGCACGTTCCACCTACCAAGCAGGAAAAAAAATTTTTTTAATACAGTTTTTATGAATAAAACAAATCTTGACCTTGAATTTATCAAACGCCCGCCAAAGTATGTGTGGGAAGATATTTGCAGCTTACTCTAAAATGCAGCACAGACTCATGTGGGTTGGTGGGTGGCCAGAGGGAAGCACCAGCAGATAGAACCACGATAAGCCAGTCTGCTCCCTGTGGGATGTGTATGGTGGGCGCATGCTGTTCGCTGCATAATTCTTTCACTAATGCAACGCCCAGGAGTAATTCTAGGTTCTAGGGTGCGCTGCAGCCTTCCTGCCTCTGAACCATGGATAGGACCCTGGGATGCATCTGAGGCCCGGTCCACCTGCTGCTCCTCTCGCCCACCAAGTAGCAGGCAGGCTTCTGTTCCTTCATTCACAGAATCTCTCCAGAAGGTCCATGTTAACTGCAGTTCTTGGCCTCTGGCGCCTCCTTTTCTCTACTCTTTCACCAGAGCATGGGCTCCTCCTTTCCACAGGGCTGGGTTCAGGGGACTCCGGGCAGAACATGGTGAGCTGCATGCCCCAAGCGCAGTGACCAGCCCTTCTGTGCACCAGTGTGAGCATGCGCCAAAGTCAAGTCTGCTCAGCGCCACACACTGCATGGTCTGGCAGTTTGTGTTCCCTTAGACAGTCCGTATGTGGAACCTGGCCCCCATTTTACAGAAGGGAGAGCCTGAGTTCCGGATAGATTTAACTTCCCCAGGGTAAAGCAGAGCAGAATTTCCTCCCGTACAACTCAGCACTGCTGCCCTGAGTATCCACCCTGGGAAAGGAAAACTCAGGTTCACATGGAGAGCTGAGCACAGTCTCTTCATGACTGCCCCAAACTGGAAGCCTCCCAGAAGTCTTTCAAGAGGTGACTGGAAAGCCGGGCGTGGGGACGCACGCCTGATATCCCAGCACTTGGGAAGCTGGGATTACAGGCCCGGGGGGTTTGCAGGGGGATTGCACCAAGTTGGAGGCCAACCTGGGCTACATAGTGAGACCTTGTTTCAAAAAAAAAAAAAGGTGACCGGAAAAACAGACTATAGCACAGCCGCACCATGAACTATTCCCCAGCAATCAGAAAGGGCATACACAGCAGCTCGGATGAATTTCAGACACATTATGCTGGGCAAAAGAAGCCAGATCAAAAGCTTACATCCTACAGGGCTCCACTGACGACATTCTGGAAGAGCTGAAACTTTAGGAGCGGAGAACAGATTGGTTGGTGCCGGAGGTAGAAGTGGAGGCGGGGAAAGCTACAGAGCAGCAGCAAGAAGGGATCTGGGGTGAGACAGAGTTGTTT